AAATATTTTTTTCTTCCCGTTTTTCTTGCTTGCTTTTCTAAGCACAAGGCGCAGGCCTTCCACGGAGGGGCCGCGGGGTGGCTGCCTGCTGAATGAATGGTGGTCGGGGGCTGTGGGATAGGGGGTGGGGGTGGGCACGGAGGAGCCGGTTATGACCTGGCTCCTCTAAGGAAGGCGTTTTCTTTTCTCTGCAAACGGAGCTGCTGTTTGTTTGGAGAAGGAGAGCTGTGGGTACGGAATTAGGGGGTGTCATGTGGGCTGCACGTGTGGTGGGAGCTACCTGAAATCTGCCGGCTAATCACTCCCAGATGGAGTCCCTCCCCCAGGGACTGCGGTCCCAGGAGCCCGAGTCCCCCCAAAGCTGCTTCTGGGGGCTGAGATTTAAAGGGAAAGAGAGCAAAACGTGTGTGCACGTGGACACGGCTCTATGATCTCTGGGGACTCTCAGGACTCTTGCGATGCCCCCTACACCTTTGTCAACCAGAAGCATTCGGAAAACAAGGTCAGCCACTGCCACCCCGTCCCGGGTCCCTAATTCCACACTCAGATCTATTTGGAAGCAGTGGAGGAGGAGGCGAGGCGGGGGGAAATGAGTAACGGGGAGAAACACTGGCTTCAGGAACAATTGAATGGGCTTGAGGGTGGGGTGGGCGGAGTTCACTGCTACAGGTCTTTTTTTTTTAATCTTTATTGTTGAAAGTATTACATAGGTCCTCCTTTACCCCCCATTAACCTCTTCAGCCCGCTCCCATCCCCCACCCCATTGTCTGTGACCATGGGTTATGCATATATGCACACAAGTTCGTTGGCTGATCTCTTCCCACCCACCTTCTCCTGCCTTCCCTCCGAGGTTCACCGGTCTGTTCATGCTTCTAGGTCTCTGGGTCTATTTTTGATCAGGCGGGTCTTCGTTCGGGATGAACTGTCTTCATTAGGGATGAACTGTCTTCATTCGTGATGAGCTGTCTTCGTTTGTGATGAACTGTCCAGGAGCCACAGCTTTCTGCTGCTCATGGGTGGGCCTTGCTGCTCAGAAGGGTGGGGCGATGCAGTGAGGGTCAAGGATGGGCATCGTCCTCCAGCCAATGGGCAGCCACCCATGGAAGGAAGGGGGGTGTCAGCTTGGGGAGGGGAAGCCTCTGGCTCGGCCTCCGTCTGGTCTGTTTGGAGCCTGTATTCCCCCTGCCTGTCCAGGGCCCCGCGTCCACTGCCATCACACGCGTGGTTCCCATCCCTTTGCCCCCATAACCCATGAGCGCCTGGACTCACTCATCGCGGTGCCACACGGTTCCGACTGAACATGAGGGGCGATAGGCGAGGGGACCTTGGGGTACACACCCTAGCCTCTCTCCTCCCGCACACACACATCACTCCAAACCACACGCGTTCCCCTGCTCTTGTGCTTTCCCACCCATTGCTGCAAAAACAATCCTGTTGCAAATGAATATTGCTTGCTGCTGCTTCCTGCCTCTGCTTCCCCAGTGCCCTCGCATCTAGGTATCGACTCTATTCTCTTTGCTTTTCATGTGCGGACGCAGGAGCCCTGCAAGTAGCGTGGAGCGAGCTCAAGGCCACGCCGTTGATGGGAGAGGCAGACCCAGCCCGGAGCTGGGGTGCGCGCCTGCCTCCCCCGTGAGCCCTGGCACACGGCACTCCTCGCGCTGCTGTCCCCAGGAGCTCTGGCTCCAGCGAGCCCACTCCCCCACGTTCCCATTGTTCTCCCTGCGCTCCGGTTGGGCTCGGGCTCCTTTGTGGGTCACGGGGAGAAACTGGGGCTCCGTGCTTTTGTGAAGCGTGTCTCTGATCTTATCGCCTCCCTTCTCTCCTAATCAGGACTTGGTCGCCTGGGTCTTGAGGAGCCGAGAACAGAGCGTGACTTGAACCAGGCACGGCCAACGTGTCTTCCCTGCTTTTCATGTCCTCTCGTCTGCCCAGCGGGGTTCGGCGCTGGGTTTGCGGCCCTGGTGCCTTGACTGACTTGGTTTCCCCGGGACACACTTCGCTCCAGTGTGTGTGGCGGCTTCTTTCTTCTGGGTTATGCGGCAGCCTTTTTACATCTTGATTGAGGCACGTCCGGATTTTCAAAATGACTGTGTTCTACCAACCAGACCTGGGATGTCACCACCCCCGCAGCCTGGAGACGTCCTTGGGGCCCTCCACTATCACCCCCTCCCTCTTCTTTTCTGCTTCTTATTAGTAAGAAGAAATGTTTGCAGAGCCCTTTGCAGAGGGCTCTTAGCCTCTGTGTATCACCCGACTCTCCCCCAGAAAACCTCTGCGGTTGTTCTTATCCTTCCCCCCATTGAGCAGATGAGAAAACTGAGATTTCAATCGGTTAATTCACCTGTCCACGCTCTCGGTGTTAAGGGGCAAAAACCGACACTGACAACAGCAGCAGGGAAACAAGGAGACAATGGCTGCCAACTCTTGGATGCTTGATGCTTAGCAGACCGAATGGGCTATGCCGTGACCATCCGTATTCCCCCGTGAGGGAAGCTATTTACCTGTGGCCTTACTTCTTTTTGGCCTTATGTCCTTTGGACTCAGTGTTTTATGGGGCGATGTTCACTCACATTTGGGAGGGACAGTCCCCATATAAGACTGTCAAGGGAGGATGCTGAGTTGGGAAGGAGAAGAGGGGGCTGTTGGGAGTCATCAGACCCAGTGGCTGTCTTGCCTGTGGCATAGGCCGTGGCTGAAGGGCTGGCCTGGTGACCTCAGGGACTGTCTGCCCCTCCCATGGGGGGCTGGCTGGGGGCCCTTAGAGCCATCCCCCCTCTGCCCAGACCCCCGATGGGTCGCCTGACACTGAAGGGCCATGGAGGGGAAAGACACGCTCTCTTGGGGAGGAGTCAAGATGAGAGCCCTCTGGTTGCCACCTGGTCTGAGTGGTGACAGCTCGATGGTGGTCAGCATGCGGGGAGAGGGCTGGGATGCTGGTTGAAGGAAGGAGGAAGCTGACAGGGTGGGCATGGGGGTGGCTGACGAGGCCGATGTCCTGTCTACTGTTCTTGAGCCAGATTAGAACTCGGCTGGACTCAGTCTTGTTTGCCCGTTAATTACCCTTGTATCATAGGTTGGGAAAAAATGAAAAAGGGGTGGGGGTGGGGTAAAGGCAATTGCTAGGGAGAGAAGAGTTCAAAAGAGAAAGGTCAGTTAGGTTAGTAGCGTGTTTTAGGGCCGCTCCCCGAGCCCGGATGCTCTCAGGGGAGCCGGGGAGCCCCATGGAAGGAGAACAAAGGCAGATTCACACGCCGGGTCTCCTGCCTCTGGGAACATGCAGTGCCTCCTAAGGATGACACGGAGCCCTTTAAAAACGCCCCACGCATTCACCCCACGAGCATCTCACAAAGGCTCCGAGAGGCCTGGCCCCGCGCGGGGCGGCTCCCCCAGGTGACCGGCTCAAGGGCACCTTCATTCCTGAATCCCTCATGCCACGCCCTGCGCAGGCCCCTGTCAGTCTTCCCTTTTGCAGAGAAACGCCACTTTGGGGACCCGACTGGGAAAAGGGAAAGCCACGCGTCCGTGCCACATAGTCAGACGCTCGCCTGGGCCGTCCCGGGTCTGCCTGCCACTGGTCACAGCTGGTCTCTCACTCTGTGGCCACAGAGGTTTCCATGGCCGTCATGAAGTGCTTTGTGTATTGGAAACTGTGAATAAAAAGGTAAGGGGAGGGGGAGGAAGGCTGCCCATCAAGCTCACCCAAACCCTCAACCTCAGACTCTTGGAAGGAAGCAGCTGCCCGAAACGGTCCCAGACGGTCTGCAGGGCGGGCAGGGACGGTCCCGGTCCCGGTCCCAGAGGCTCCGCTGGCTGCCACCGTGGAGGCCTTGGCTGCCCCGGCACAGGGAGGAGCGTGCAGATCCTTTTTAAGTTTCTGAAGGCAAGACGCTTCCTGCCTGCCGCCCCCTCACCTCGCTCCCTCTGCAGAGGCTGGCCCTGGCGGGGCTCCTGGCTGACCCCGGGGAGCCAACCCCAGCCTCCCTCTGGCCAGCCCTCACCTCTCCTGCCAGTGCTTATCTGGGGGAGCAGGAGTCCTACCTTTCAGATCCCCCCATTCCTGAAAGAAGGTATTGTTATTGTCTCAAAACTGCCCAGGTCAGGAACAAAGGCGGGCCCTGGGTCTTCTTGAGGCGGGATGCGATGGAATTGGCATTCCTCTGAAATGGCTGGTTATTACGGCCCATTTCTGCTAACAATTACCTGCCAACACCGAAAGGGATCGGACTCCTCCGGGCTCTTGTTCGGTTTTCCTCTTCTCTCTTCCTTTCTTTGTGGAGCCTTCAAAAAAAAAAAAATTGGTGCACATTGGAGTTGAGATTTAGACAGGTCTAGTGTATTTATCTCCACGACGCATGTGTAAATCTGACTGGACAAACAATTATTTTCTATGGGTGTGGTGTGTGTGTGTGTGTGTGTGTCCGTTCTTGAGAAAAGAAGATAATTTCTTTCCTTTTATAATCCAGTTGTCTCTTCTTGAAAACGGGATTGTAGGAAACACAGAGAGAGTATGCTATGGTTTGTTTCCAAGTAGATTTAGTGGTGTGTTTTTTCTCTGATTTGAGCAAATGCCTTGCACATAACCGATGCTCAGAAAGCATTTGTTGAAAGGAATGGCACCTGCCCGGCTTGATCTGCTCAAGTGGAAGTTGGACAATACCCTGGAATGGCTTAGGGCAGTGGTCGGCAAACTGCGGCTCTTGAGCCACATGCGGCTCTTTGGCCCCTTGAGTGTGGCTCTTCCACAAAATACCGGCTTCTGCGCATGGGCCACGAAGTTTCAATCGCACTGTACGTGTGCGCCCACACGTGGTATTGTGTGGAAGAGCCACACTCAAGGGGCCAAAGAGCTTAGGGGGCAGGGAAGGTGTC